TTGACATTTCAGTTAGTCAACCTGGACGAGCCTAACCTCACTGCGGCCTTTTAAAACTAGAGTTTAGGAAGAAGACTGTTCGCTGCCAAATCATTTTATTTTTTAATCACTGCACAGTTAAGTTAACCACTCCAGTGAAATTCCCTTAAATGTTACTCAGAGCATCATGGTGAAGAAGCAGCAATCAGTTCCCTATTATTCTTTTAAAGAACATTTTCTCTCTTTTCCTACTTCTTCTTGCTCTGTCCCTCCCAGTACATTTTCTTTACAGAATTTACATCAACTTCTAACCTCTTGAAGTTTACATGCATCAATAAGGTAAGTTTTGTTATAAACCCTGTCAAAATACAGTGCTCTGACCCTTTCTAATAAACATTTTTCTTGATACTTCTTCTCATCTGCCCCCATCCCAATAATAATTGGCTACCCAAATAAATCTGTGACACTTCATGAATATATAATTTCTAGATAGAATTTCTTCCTTTATTTTGTAGCAGGCATAATCAAATCCTGAGCATTGCTTTACCTGGAACATGAGAACTACTAGATTTATTCTGGAAAACTATTTTGACATCAGAATAATATTTATGGGATTAATGACTGGAAGCTTCATCAAAGCAATTTTTCTAATATATAAGTTTTTTGAAAGCAGGGACCATAGTTTATTTTTTATCCCTAATGCCTATTATAGTGCCTGATACATAGTTGGCATTCAGTGTCTCTATTAACTGAATGAGTGAATGAATTAGCACAAAAACTAGTCTCTACCATTTAGAAGACTCATACTTTAAGAAAGAAGCAACACAGATAGCAGCTGTCATCATCATTATCATCAATATTTATTGAATAACTTATTTTACTTGGTCAAGTGCTGGAGTTTATAAAAAGAATAATAATACCATTCTTACTCAACTTTAAGACAAAAGCTCTGAGAGCATGAAAAGACTTTCATTTATAATACAGATTTTTATTGAGCACTTTCTGTATGCTAGCATCATTCTGGCACTGAGGATATAATGGCAAATAAGACAGACAAAAATCCCTGTCCTTGGGGAGCTTAAATTTAAATGGGAGTGACAGCTCATAAACAAAATATATATTATTTTAGTGGTAGGTGGATAGGAAAAAATATGGAAGTGGAGCTAGTATTGAAAGTTTAGATGAAATGGCTAGGGAAGGCCTCATGTAGATAACATTTGAATAAAATGATAAAGAAAGTGAAGACATGAGAAAAATGTTACTTTCATATGAGAGGAGAAGATAAGGAAGGGGAGGGGAGCTAGTGTGAGTGTGAAAGAGGCAGGTGCTATACCAGTCCATATCTGCATGTACAGTCAGTATTGGGTCTCACGGGGGCTTCCCCTGCGGCTCAGTGGTAAAGAACCTGCCTGCAATGCAGAAGATTTGCAGGAGATGCAGGTTCAATCCCTGGGTTGGGAAGATCCCCTGGAGAAAGTAATGGCAACTTGCTCCAGTATTCTTGACCCGAAAAATTCCGTGGAGAGAGGAGTCTGGTGCGCTGCCATCCATGGGGTCGCAAAGAGTCAGACATGACTCAACAACAGCAACAGATGTTACATAGCAATGCACTGGGCCTCACTGTATGCAATACGCAGGGACAGCCCAACGGCTTTAACTGGTGGGGTGCTGAGGGGATGGTCTTTGGATTCAAGCAGAACAAAGGAGGCACTTAAACGAGTGTCGGGTGGGTGATCACAAAACTGCTTCAGCTGCTTTTGCTAGTTTCAATCTATGCATCCAAACAAAGATAGAAGATGCTCTTAGAAATTACTGTAATATATAACTACAAATGGAAGTAGCATGGAAAAGCAAAGCAAGTGAACTTGAGAATCTGGAAGAGATTAATGTAGGTTAAAGAAAGAGAGAGGGGCAAAGAATGAGGAGCAGCGACACAAAGGCCCCAGGGTGGTCTTCTGGAAAGGTCCAAAATGAAAGTGGAACATGGGAGGGTGTGTGTGTGTGGAGCTTGCATTGGTGTGTTATGGACTGAATCATGTTCCCTGCAAATTTATATGTTGAAGTCCTAGCCCTCAGTATATCAGAATGTGACCTTATTTGGAAATAGTGTCACTGCAGGTATAATTAAAGATGAGGTCAGATTAGAGTAGTTGGGCCTCTAATCAAAAATGACTGGAGTGCTCATAAAAAAGAAAAATCTCAAGAGACATGCCATGTGAAGGATGGAGATACATGAGCACAAGCCAAGAAACCACCGGAGGCTAGGGGAGGTCTGGAAGAAAACTTTCTCCAGTGCCTTCACAGTAAGCATGGCCCTGCCCACACTTTGATTTCAGACTTCTGGCCCCTAGAACTGTATGAAAATACATTCCTGTTGTTCTAAGGCAAGAAGCTTGTGGTACTTAGGAAACTAATTCAAGCCTGTAAGACTATTTTGAGGTAACCAGCAAGAGCATTTTTATATCACAGAAAGGGAAGTAGTGTACAAGGAGTGAAGTGCCTGACCATCTCAGGCATCAGAAAAGTTTGTTTCTGTTTTTTTTTTTTTTTGCCAAAGCAGGCAGCTTTTATATACCTTTCAGAGAAAGACTTCTTTCTGAGAAAATAGGGACTCAGACTTGGGATAGCAAGGGTTCTTGACCTAGAATTATCTATCTCTGGCAGTAAGGATGCCATCTATACTCCTGATTGTTGTTCACTCAAGTTGTGTTCCATTCTTTGCGACAGGACTGCAGCGCTCCAGGCTGCCTTGTCCTTCACTATCTCCTTGAGTTTGCTCAAATTCATGTTAATTGAGTCGGTGATGCTATCTAACCACTTCGTCCTCTGCTGTCCTCTTCTTTTGCCTTCAGTCTTTCCCAGTATCAAGGTCTTTTCCAGCGAGTCAACTCTCCACATTAGGTGGCCAAGTACTGGAGCTTCAACTTCAGCATCAATGTCCTTCTAACAAATATTCAGGATTGATTTCCTTTAGGATTGACTGGTCCTTCTGATATATAGAGGACGTCTCATATGGGAAATTTATTTCATGCTTTCAGGGGAACAAATGATCACAGTGGTCTTTTTGCACTGGATGTTTCTCAACCATAATTTCAAATAATAAATACGCCATAGTAGCATATTTAAAGGGAAGTCTTTCCTGCACCCCGTCAGTAGCGCTTAGAACAGTGCCTGACACCTGGGACGCACTCGGTAAATGTTACGCGCTTTTGTTATTCAATATTATTGCCTTTACTTATTTGAAGTCCTTTAAGCACTCAATAAGTAACAGCTTTTGTTAGTGCTTCTTCGCATCAACAGCTGAAGGACCATTACAACCGAGAGAAATGAAACTAATTTTACATATTCCCCTCACCCGGAATTAGGGCTGAGAGGCAGAGGTGACCAAGCCTGAAAAAAAAAAAAAAAAAAGCAGCAGCCAGAAAAGTCTAATAGTTGTGACTTCTGTAGTTACATTGTATTTTCTTGTTTTACCAAACCTCTTTCTTTTTACTTATGTTTCATTTTGGTTTTAGAAAATTTGACCTCTCTCCAACAAGTTACAAGGGCTTCCCTGGCGACTCTGGTAAAGAATCCACCACCCCAGGAGATGGGGGTTCTATTCCTGGGTCTCGAAGATCCCCTAGATAAGGAAACTGCAATCCACTCCAGTATTCTTGCCCGGGAAATCGTGTGGACAGAGGAGCCTGGCGCCCTATGGTCCCTGGTGTTGCAAAGAGTCGGACACGACTTAGCGACTGAACAAGTTACAAGACCTATTTTGACTTGTGTGGTATCAGTTATACAAATAGAAACTGAGCTGATTTTAAAGGGGCCACGTGTGAAGCGGGGGCTTTTTCTCAACAGTGAATATAAAAAGTTGAAAAAGGAAAGGAATTTCCATTTAACTATTCATCATCTCCTCTCATAGGTTGTGCTGCTGATTGCGCCCTTTCCCTTGCAGGACTACAGTCGCTGCTGCCTCGGGAGAGCGACCAGGTTCCTCAACCCAACCACCAAAGCGGGGTCCGGGAACGACCAGAGCGGCGAAATAGGTTTCCCCCCAGCCTCCTCTCCCAGGGCAGAGGAGCGAAGACCAGCCTCCGCGCCGCGCGCATGCCCAGTTGGGAGGGCGCCCTCACTAGGGACCGCGAGGCTCAGGTTTTCCCCGCTGTTGGGGAGGTGTGGGGAGCAGGCGGCGGCCTCGCGGACCCAAGAAACTCCGACCGATGTACCCTGAGGGGTCGCAGGCAACTCTGCGGACTTTTTAATTTTCCACTTTGGCAACCTTGTGCCTGCCGCGATCAAAGGGAACCGAGCACATCCCGGCAGGGTGGCGCCCACGGCCAGGGCACCCTAGTTACATAGCTTTTCAGTTCCCCTCCGCGGAACGGAAGGCCGCACTCCTCTGGAAGGAGAACATTTTTCTGAAGAAGTCCCGGGACGGTCACTCCTCTCGTTTGCCGAACCTTTTTTTTTTTTCTTAAACTGGCCACAGACAAGACAGTCCTAATGCTGAGCGCCCTCCCAGCGGCCGCCGCCTTGCTCTGTGCCCAGCGGGCCCACAGGCTGCTCTGAAAACGGGCGTTCTCAGGTATCTGTCTCCAGAGTCGCTGGCGTCATGGCCAGGACGTCCGCTTTGCTTCCCGACCACCCTCCGGGTTTAAGAAGGACCAGCGTCTCCTCCTTCGGGAAATTCCCGCCGGTGCACCTAGACTGCCCCGAAATGAGCACGGGCCCGTTTTCCGGGTGTGGGTTGGCGGGGGTCATAGTAGAGAGCCAGGTGTAGTAGCCCGGCCTCAGCGTCTCGGCGCCCAGCCTCTGAAGGCTCACCCTTGGCCCCTCGGGCGGCCGCCATCAAGCCGCCGCCGCAGCTGCAGCCGGCCCGCAAACACACGCCCACCCGCACGCTCGGATTCACTGGCCCCGGGCGGCTGGAGGCGGGGGAAAGGACGCACTGAGCATGCTCGGTGGGGAGGGCGGGGCGCTCTCGGACGGCGCGTCGGGGCGGGCGCTCTTCCTCCCCGGCGGCCGCCCCCCGCGGGTCCCTCCCTGGCTGCGGGAGAGACCGAGGTAGACGGAGGACACAGCGCCGCGCCGCCCGCACCGGAGACCTTCGCCTCGCCTTGCCGGCTCCTCACCCTCTGGGAGGAACATGGGTAAGTCATCCTTCCTCCCCCGTCATCGCCTGACATATTTCTCTTTCTCGGTGTGTTGCAGGGTGGGAAGCATTTCTCCCGCAAAGTTGCTGGATTTCTCATTTCCACGGGTGTGAGGCAGTGGCTCTTCCTCCGGGGAGAGTCGGCGCACGCGGAACGCACGCCGGGTCCGCGAACTGGGAGGGTGCCGAGTGCGGGGTGGGGTCGGGCCGCGGGGCCGGAGCGCCGCCCGGCTCTCGGGCACCTCGCTGCCTAGCCTCCCCTCCTCCATTCTTCCTGCCCGAGCCGGTGCACGGGCACCACGGAGCCTGCCTCGCGGGCTCGCATCCGCTGCCCCTTCGCGTTTCCTTTCCCCGGCGGCTGCTGGGCTGGAGGCTCGGGTCGAACCGCCAGAAAGACCACTTCACCCAACTTCCCTGCCAGGGCGACCTTTCCCCACTGTGGGGACTGCTCATCCCAAGGCGAGGAGGTGTGAGCATGTAGTTTGTGGGGGAGATTTTACAACCTGCACGGGAATTATATTTGTTGGGGGAGAGCGGACAGTCTCATAGGTTGAAAGGATGACTTGTCAGAGGCCACGAGGAACGTGAGGAAGGATGGATAGAGCCTGCTAGCTGTTGAATTAGGGTTGAGTGGCTATAGTGAAGCAGTATTCCTGTGCTCAACCCGTTTTCTTGGTTCCTTCGCCTGTCTACTGTAGTGGGAAACTGCACCCTGTAACATGTTACCGAACTTACATGTTAGTTATTCTTCCGGTTTTCTTTGCCGAAATCTACAAAATCTGATTTTAGTTATTTTTTTGTTAATGTCAAGAGTTTTGGATATTTAAAAGCAAGTATCTTTTATCAAAGTGCATGTAATTATCCTATTTTTTTTCTCACAGTATACTTAATTTTGAAGTTCGGTAATTGCAAAAACGTCTCATGGATACTGTAATGTAATTAAAAGACCAAAGTTTTTTTTTTTAATGCTAGCAATTTGGAATGCCATGCTTCTCCAAGTTCCCCAGTTTGTTTCCACTCCTGTCTATTATGATTTCCTCTTTTTAAAATTTGCTAACATTGGCGTATGTCAACTAGGACTTTTCCCACCCCTTCCCCGCAAGTTATTTTAAGCTTCAGATGAGTGTGGTCCTTTCATCTGTCAATGCAGTACTCAGCACGTCCAGAGTTAGGTCATGGCAACTCAGAATCTTCAAAGAAGTGTTTAAATCTAGAAATGGTGTGGATGGAGCTTACTTGAAAAGCAAATGCTTCAGGCTCTGATTCAGACCTTTGGCTGTATATCAGGAAGAGGTCATTGTTACAAGAGAAGGTGGTATGAATGAAAAATGAATCTAAGACCCAGAATTTTATTTTCACTTGTTCAATTTTTTCCTTTTTAATGTCCTACTGGTATGCTGAACAGATTTCTGTAAAAATTGGGTGGTTCATTTATATGTACCTAGCCTTTCTCTGGGAGTAGAATATTAGTTCAGATTATTGGAGACATAGTTTGTCTTCCCCTTGAACATAACAAAATTTTTCTTGTTAATTATAGGCCACAAGTTTGGCCTATAAACTATATTTCACCATGTTTCAAGCTGAGCTAATAAAAATCTTTTTAAAATTCTAACTTGCATGTTGAATCAGTACCATTTGAGTGGAAAAAAAATTAAATTCTATTGCAATACTACTGAAAAATACTACTTTAATTAAAAATAATCTTGAAATCTTGAATGTTATTACTTGATTTCAAAGAAAGTTAAAATAAATCCATTCCTCATTTGAAGCTTCTCAGGTATACTCTGACTAAATTACTGTCTTCTCATATCATTCTGTTTGTACCTTGTTGGAAGCTTTTTAGCTCTTACATAATCAGCTTTATAATGGAGTTGTTTATGTGTGTGTGTTGTGCGTTTAGTCATGTGTTCCAGAAGATGAAAATTGTGTCTTATTAATTTTTGGGTCCTCCACAGTGCTTTCCACATAGTAGGTATTCAGTAAATCTTTGAATTAACTGTTGAACTGGAAACCCATCTATTATTGTGAACTTGTAAATCTGTAAGTATGGACTCTGAACAAAGTTTGACTTGGTAGATGTTAGGAAGGTAATGGAGGTGTGAAGGAAGTGGGAACAGAGAAGTATAATTACACTATGATTGCTCTTTTCTCTTTCTCAAAAAAAAAAAAAAAAAAAAAATAGTTGAGCTGTCTTAAGAGGTATGGGTTTTGGAGGAGCCACCAGGCAAGCTATTTCTTTCTATATTGCTGTCTTCAGTGGTATGGCGGTTTAGTTTGTGATCAGTAGCTACATACAATAATGTAAAACTGAAAGCTTGGGAAGCAACTTTATATTCTAAGCCAAGGAAGTTATTGTAGCAGTTCATACATAGATAAGGGGTATACTGGTTACTGGTAGGGCAAAAAAATCACTTATTAATGTCTTTTCAGGAAATATATAGGTGGTTTAAAAAAAAATCTTGTGGCAATGATTTTCTCCATAACAAACTGAAGGAAACTTCTTATGTGGTCTTATGGATCTTGGCTGTTATTTTATGTATATATTAAAATTCAATGTATACTTCATATTTGAATATCAACCACGTGTAATATACTACAGGAGGATAAAGATTAATAAAACATTTTTAAAGTTTCTTATACTCTTAAGGAATAATGTGATACATACACAGATAACTGTAATAGAAATGAAGTATGAGTGATACAGAAGACCTTAATATAATTTATACTTTCCGACGATGGAGAGAAGTTTTCAGAAAAATGATGTTATTTGAACCAGTATTTGGTTAAGCTTCTGAAAGGTAGAAATGGAGACTGTTAATCAGGATGGGAGTGGAGGGAGAGAAATGACGTAAATGAAGATACAGCGGTAGGAACATTCAGACAGTTTCAGGATATGATTAAATAATCATGTTTGGCTACAGCAAAAGGTAAGGAAATAGTGGGTGACAGAGATGAAAAAGTATTAACAGGTAAGGAACAGATAATGAAGGCCTCTAATGTCAAGCTGAAGTTGTTTTTGGACTTAATTTGTCCTTTGAGGGACCGTTAAACATCTTATGCAGTTAAGTATTGGAACACATCTGTGGTTTAGGAAAATTAATTTGTTAATTGAGTGCAGGATGGATTGGATGAGAAACTAGAGAATGGTTAAGGCGGTTGCAGTTGGGTGAAAATATGTACTAGCCTGAACCAGGCTGTGGCAGTAGGAATAGAATGTGGCACATAAAGAATAGAGTTAAGAAAGGAGTCCTACATTGTTACATGGGAATACTGGGAATGTGGGATCTATTAAATATATATTCAGTCCATTGGAAGAGGACACATGAATGGTCAGTTTTGCACCTGATGGACTATTTAGCTTTTCCTTTAGCTTCTCTACTTCTTGATGGCAAGGATTCTCATACTAGGTTTTGAAATACATTTCTAACACTAGTGTATCACACGTGGAGATGGCAGTAAAAATTTGTTGACTGACCAAAACTGGGTAAAAAATGTATAATGGTTATTTTAACTCTCAAGAAAGGATTTGAGCTTGATACCTGAGAATTACCCACCAATATCCTGAGATAATATTTGAAGTTAGGTAGGAGGATGAGAGCCAACAAAGAAAAGAAAATATATCCAAGGTAAGAGTCTTGAGGAATGCCTCATCCTTAGGAAAAAAGAATGAAATGATTTGACACTGAAAAAGACTGTAGTAGGTCGGAGTGAAAGACTAGAATTGGTTGATTTCAAGAATGAAAGGTCAATGCTGCTTCAGAACAGTGAGTAATAACGACTGAGAAAAGGCTCCAGGTTCATGTAGTTTGGTTAGGGTATTACCTCTGGTTAGGTATTTTCTAAAAAGCATCTTTATGAGGAATGATAGATTTGGAGGTCACCTGTAAAGGCTAAGTGGATAATGAATAGAATAAGTAGAAACAGAGTTCACTATTTAGTAAGTAGTATGGTATTCCTGGCCCTGTTTTAACATCTATAAGTAAGTGTGTAAACATTTTTTAAATGTCTCACATTACATGGAATGACACGTGCTAATTTTTGGCTAACCAAAGTTTGTAATCTCACCATAGTGCCTCACATTTCTTTGACATTCTATGTTTTATGTCTCTGTAACTTAGTATAGTACCCTTTTAATTTTTGCAATATCTGTCATGTAGAGTAGGTTTAGAAATGGTTTTGTATTTTACGTGACATTTTGCGTCAAAGATACTCTACTGATGAATGGTTTTATCACTTTTTATTTACTGTTAGTCTTTGTGAATTTGGAGTCTCTCTAGTTATATGTGTGCCTCTAATTATACTCTTAGCTCATGGAGTTTTTCTCTATGTATAAGCCTTATGGATAAGTCTTTTTTTTTTTTTTTTTTGGCTTGCATTTCTAAGTCCAGGAATAGGTTCATAGGAAAATAGTTAATATTGGTACTTTTACTTGTTCTTTACAAGTCACGGTAGAGCAATAAAATATTTTTGTAAGTTTGTAATCACTAAAAATTTATTGTTTTAAAAGAGCATATATATTGACTAGTTCAGTAATTTTTCTTATGTTGGCTTTTTGTCTGTTTTATATATATACCCCCCTTTTTTTTTGTACATAGTAGAGGGCTAGATTTACTATCCTTGGTAGAGTCATATTCTGAAATCTATAGTACTACTATTGAGAAAGTTGTAATAGCCTTAATTCGCTTTGAGAACCATAATTTTAATTTTCACAGCAGAATATTCAAGCCTCTAGGTACTTTTAAGGAAATACTAGTGCTCTCTCCGGAGACTCCAGATCAGCTGAATTGAATCAGGTGATTCTGGCATTATTGGTGGCACCAGCCATAAAGAATTATGTAAATTTTTAATATCCACTCATGAACATCAGTAGAAATGGAGAAGGAAGATCCACTCCTTTGTCAACTCTGTGTTAATTTCAGATAATCAAATGTTCAGATAACTGATAAAGAAAAAACTTAATTTAAAATGCTTTCCTAGACGTTTAACTTGACAAATAGC